GACAGGGGGAGGGGAAAGAGTTTTTTGTGTAACAGCTTCCCCTCCAGTCTCACCCTATAATTGGCTTCTTTTCCTTTTTGCATGGGCTTATGTGTCTATCACAAATGCTCTGCAGAGAAAACGTGGGCTGGTGGACGGGCCGCCCAGGGCCAGCCGCAGCTTTCGGCAGCAGCCGCCCTAGATCGGAGCGCCGTGCGGGAAAGTGGACGGTCTGGCCGGTGAGAGATGGGAAGTAAATGGCTGTCCGGACACATGTCCCCAGTCAGCTCCACATGTGCCTGTTCAATCGAGACAGTCGAGTTACAATGGAAGGCAGAAATGACCTTGGCCTGGGGAAGAAAGATGGCCAGAGAATCATTGGTTTCCGTATGCGGCGGGAACGGTCCGATAGCGCGTCAGAAGCGCATCATCACAGGAATCCCAGTAGATGGCCAGCCAAGCATCTGAGCTTGTAACGACTTACCCTCAGTCCCTTGTCTAATCCATGTTTTGCCAGAATTTCCTATCAAATGTTCTATTAGAGGAAACTTTTACCTAAGTGGCTGTTGGGCTTCTGATAAGTAAATTTCTGAAAACACTCCCATGGGCAGAGTCTCTGTTTTTTCCTCGCAGCTCATCTAGAAAGTAGGCACCGGGGACCGTATTCTACTCACGGCTGAGAGCTTCGGTAGCTCTGTTACCTGAGTCTGCAGACCATTAGGGTTGAGAATGATAGATGGAGGACAGGCTTCCACGCCTCCCACCTCCACCGCCACTTTCAAGGGCTGCCCACCCTTTCCTTCAACACAGCAGTGACCAAATCCAGGATCACACAGTCCTGCTTTAGACACGTGGCCTGTGCCTAAAACCAGAGCAAAGTATTAACCAAGACTTACCAGGGCTGAAATACAGCATCACTGATTTTCCCAAGATTAAAAGTGAGTATAGCCTCATAAAACAAAACCCTGTGGCTTCACCACAAGCTCGGTGATGTCGGCCTCCTGGTGCACAAAGACTTTGAACATGAGACTCAGCTTCAGGTGGGAGGAGAGGGAGGCTATACGGAGAAGGGGAGAGGCTCAATTTTTTTCATCTCTCTTCTTTCTCAGCATTATTAAAGGGCCAGATCAGGGGGAGAAGACCTCGATGCCAGGATGTTGGTGTCGGGTTGGGAGGGGTGGCTTACTTCCAATCCTGATCCTATTAAGAGGACTAGAAGCAGAAAGGAACACAGTGCTGAGAGATCAGATTGCCCTGTCCTTTGAGCAAAGTCTATTGAGGAGCCTGATGCAAGGCCCACTTGGAAGAAATAGCTT